GAAACCTTGAAAGCTCGCGAGATCAGGATGGTCTCACCAGGCTAGTCTGGAGCTGCAAAAATGTAAAAGTCTTCCATCAGCCTCATGAGGCAACACGGCTCTAAGTGTATTAGGCCACTATAGAAAAAGAACTACATGGCTAAGCATTCATGATTAAATGTTTATCCTGGAGCAAATGTCACATCGCAGCATGAGGTAAGGGAGGAGCAGTGAACGCTCTCACTGCGCGCCGATTCATCGCCCTTCGCTGCGCGGTTTAGGTTTAGTTGCCTGCCTGGCGTCGCGCTGAAACACGTTGCAGGCTTTGACCACTAATCTCTACGGCTGACGCACATTTTGTTTACATATATTGTTTAAATGTATTTATTACACAAATGTTTACAGCATTGGAAAACATAATGTCTGTTTGACCTCCTGCACAGAACATTAAAATAAACACAACAAAAAAATAGATTTTTCATAAAGTTTTGAAAAAGCTCCAGGAAGCCGCTAGGGGGCGCTAAAGAGCCGCAGGTTGCCGACCCCTGGTTTAACCCAGTAAATTAGTGCATCTAGAGCAGTTTTATAGTGTGTGACGGTAGATGATCCTTTCTTTGCTCTTTGTGGATGCTCTAAATCGCCCCGTGACGTCAGTGTAGTCTAACCTCCTCCATCCCTGATAACGTCCTTCATAATGACTCTGAAAGCATCACACTGGTCTATTGTGGGAATGGCTTTGCATCGGGGAAATAATTGTTTAATTATCTGAAGGATCTGGTTTTACGTCAAACTTCCATCTGGAAAGTAAAGCGATTAGACAAAAATCAGCTGGATAATCTGTGGCGTCTAAACCGATCCAGCATAAAATCCCAGCAGACTCTTTAATCATCGGTCCTGATCTCACAGCATCAGTTGGATCCGATAAACCAAAATATCAACGGCTTGTTTTCTGTTCTACAGCTTTAATAAATGGCAATAAAGCTGATTAAAAGCATCGTTTATTGGTGTATAAATATTTTATTTAATAAAACTAGGAACCCTAGCTGGCTGCAGTTTATTCTAGTCACAGCTCCAGAGAGATGATTATGATCCGGGCTCCAGAACAACATGGATGACAGTCAGTTAACCAGGAGCCATGAGCAGAACCAGGTAGAAACCACACCTGAAGGGCAATGTTTCCCTCCTGGACAGCAGACGGCCATGGACCGCTCGCTGCGACGGCGGTACCGAGGGCTATAAACCACAAAAACCATGGAAATGTTTTCACTTGTGATGTATTTAATGTTGAACAGATTATCAAACAAGAAACTATAAGTATGTGTTTCAGTTTTGCCCTTTAAAGATTGTATGAGGGAAACATGAGTGTGTGTGTGTGTGTGGGGGGGGGGCTGAAACAGATTTATTCACAGGAAACTTTCACAGCTTAAAGATGGCAGGAAAACATCAACAGTGTTAAAACCAGGAAAACATCCACAGTCTGCTGTTAGAAGCAGCTCAGGATCCACAGGGAAGACCAACCAGAACCAGGACCAGAACCAGGACCAGGATGATCCAGAACCAGGACCAGGATGATCCAGAACCAGGACCAGGATGATCCAGAACCAGGACCAGATCCCAGGAAACTTCTGGTCTCTCTGGGGACATTTGGACCCGCCTCTGATCCGTTCTGAGACACTGCACCCGTACCAGGTCTCCATGACAACCATTGGTTTATCCTACCGGTCCAATCCCAAAATAACCCTGGTCCAGACTACAACAGGTCCAAGACTAAGCCCAGACTAAACCCAGACTAATCCCACACTTACCCGATCCACACCAAGCATAAATCCCAGACTAAACCTGGTCCAATTCCAGATGAAGCCCTACTAGTCAACTAATACTAAGCCCAGACTAAACCCGGTACAAACACAGTCTAACCCCGGTCTAAACCAATAGTAAGCCCAGACTAAACCTGGTCCACACACATACTAAACCTTGTCCAAACTAATACTAAGCCCAGACTAAACCTGGTCCAAACACAGACTAAACCCAATCCAAAACCAGATCAAACCCAGTCCAAACCAAGACTAATCCCAGAATAAACCTGGTTCATCCCAGACTAAACCCCAGTCCAAAACCATATCAAACCCAGTCCAAACCAAGACTAATCCCAGAATAAACCTGGTACAAACACAGACTAAACCCAGTCCAAACCAAGACTAATCCCAGC